CATAACTCTTTGCTGTCCTAGCTCTCAAATGGTGGAACGAGCTCTCTGATGACAGAGTCTTCACATCTTCTGCTCGAACTAAACACACACCTCCTCAGACTCTACCTCAATTACAAAACACAAAACAAACTGTCATGAATTCTCCAGCGTATTAGTTTTTCCTGCCTGCTTGCTTGTCAATGAACTCTCTGTCATTCCAGATCCTGTCATCAACAAGAAATCACCTCGTTCTCTTCAGCTGGTCCTCATGCCCGTCCCACCTGCAGCCCGTTCCCTCATCAGTCCCTCACTATTTAGGTCCCCACACTTCCACTTGTCCTCTGCCAAATTGTCTTGTGTGTATACAGAGTTTTCCAGCGTTTTTCAATCAACCTGATACCCCGTCCTGACGTAGACCACAAACTCTCTGCCTGGCCCTTTTTGGATGTGTTCACCTGTCTGATTGGCATCCTGGTTCAGAACCCCGCCTATCCTCGTTTATAGATTCCCTGCCTGCCCCTCTGGACGTGTTAGCCCGTTGGACTGCTACCCTGGTTCTGACCCTGCCTGTACGAGTAAAGAACTTTGATTGGATTTCTGTCTCAGAGTTGTGCTTTTGGGTTCTAATACCTGTAACCCTTTCACAAACTGTAGCACTTAAATTGTACTTATAATGGCTCTATCTATAGCAAGTTGTAAATCTGCTTATTGTCTTGCTCTTCTGAGTTTGTATCCCTATGGTTGAAATGCACTTATTATAAGTTGCTTTGGATAAAAGCGTCAGCTAAATGACACGTAATGTAATCTTTCTTAGTAGCTGATGATCTTTCTGAACGTATTCATAAAGTTTGTATCTGTTCAGGCAACGCAATAACAGTTCACAGCATTGGCACCGTACATTTCCATTTACAGAGACTAAAAACAAAGACTTCTTGTCTCTTCCTTCGTTCCAATGCTTCCGTCTTCCGCTCGATCCTCGTGCCTGACAGAAGTGCTGGAGGCTGGAAGATGAAACAAAGATATCTGCTCCAGTCCGTCTTCTAACGCAACAGAAGTGAGTGATGAGCTCAGGCCGAGCCGCGTCTTTGACAGATCTCCTGTATGAAAACTCAAGTAGTCCAAAGTGGTCCGTGGAAGGTCTGCTGCTGATCAACCCAGGACATCTGAAACCTCGGGTACAACTGGACTTTTTCATCTAAAGTTTGGGTTGAATCATGGAATAAGAGTGAGTGGGCAATTTAGGGTAGATCCAAAGGATCTCATCAGTATGACCTTTTATTTTCCGTGGATAACTCAGCAGGAACAGGTTGAGCCCTGCAGGGCAGCCAGTACCTGAACCATCCTCCATGTTGAACATCTAATACCCCTGATTTAAATGAAACAAATCCCTCCACACATAAACCATGAATCCAATCAACGCAGGAAGCCTCTGGGTTCAGAGACCCTGATGAGCGACAGCGTTCAGCCTCACACGGGAGCTCGGCAGTGTGGGGAGATCGAATGGCTGAACGCGGCACAGCGAGGCTCTGATGGATTCATTCATTTGTGCTCTCGCGCGCCAACAAGCCTGCCAGAGGTCTCTTTCAATAGCCATGGACTAAACGCACCATGAAACAAAACGGGAGACGCAATGGAAGTAATGGGACTACCAGGTTGTGTATGCTAAACTAATTTGGGATAACTGCTGTTTCTAATGTTGCTGTGGATGCAATGACAGCTCGTCACAGACCCGTCATGTGATGTTGGTATGGGGAAGTGCTCCGCCTATTATGCAGTTTGCTCCAGGAACAACCCCCCGCCATGACATTCAAAGGCACCTCGCCTCCATCTCTGAAACACAGCATCACTACGACTTCTCTCACTTGAAATAAGGGCCACAGATGGAAAGGTGAAGGACGTATTGTGCGTCTTCCTCTAAAATACCTTTTGAAGTTGAAATATTGCATCTTATTTGTGTTTTCTGTCCATCTGACAATTTATTACCCAAAGTAATGGTCATCACTACAAAAAGATCAAGGGATCAAAACTGACATGCAGAAAAAGTATCACACACGTTACAAACCATTTGTTACCACAACCACAATCGTTATACACCTTATCAACGCATTTTATAATGAGGTCCAAGTGAGCCCAAAATGCTGCTAATAATTCCTCATTGCAAACTACATACGGTCAAAGTCGGCCGTCATGTTGGCCTCGGGTTTAAAGATACTTATCAGCACTGGTGCATAATTCCTCCTTTACTTAACTTTCCTCTGCTAGAGTATAAACACACAGTCAGTTGAAAGACAGGAATCAGTTGGATAAATATCCCTCCGGCTCTCTTAAATAAATCCAGTGAAGACCTGCTTTGACAGAATAAAGCAAGCACGCTCCTGGCTGATTAATTAAAAAATGAGAAATTGGCCTGCTATTTAAAAACTAGTCACCAATAGGTATTACGAGTGGTTGCAACGTCAATTGCAGCCCCCCAAAGGACTAGTGGATGCGCCCGGCCTGAAGTGCAGTTTAGTAAGGTGTCCTCCCCCACTTTGTCCTCTAATTCTTCAAGACCCTCCAATGTCAGAGACGGTAATTATGAAGCACATGATCTTTACTCTGTACCAGATGGATCATCTTGGCTTTCTAAAAACACTATTCCTCCTCTAAAACAGAAAAAATTAACTAAAAGGAATTTTGCCCTTAACTGTAGGAACCTTGGAAACGGCTGCGAACTCTGATATATTTAGATGGCTTTTCTATCCTGGACCTTGACAACAATTTCTAAGTATAAATCTTCTACCTGTGTCTTTGCTCATCAGGCGCAGATCCCCCTCAAAGTCAATTGTCTAGTGATAGAGTTTCTCTGGACGGAATTGGTCCGGCATCCAACACCACCATAAATAATCTTGGAGTCATCTTCAATCAAGATGTGTCCTTTAACTGAAAGGACATCTTGTGTCCTCTCAGAGTTACAGAAAAACGTCTTGTACTACAAACCACATTACTGCGACACCGTATCATCAGGCTGCTCTAATAAGTTGCTCATGTCTCTCCAGTTGATTCAGAATGCGGCAGCATGTGTATTAACAAGAACTAGATGATATTACTCCTGTACGAGCTTCTCTGCTTCTCACCTGGAAAAGCTTCCCCTACAAGGCACAACCGGCCGGGCTGCGTCTTATGTTAAGGAGCTTATAAAACCATATTATAAATGCTGGCTTACTTGTTGTTCCTAGAGTCTTAAGAAGTAGGATGGGAGCCACAGCTTTCAGTTATCAAGCTCCTCCTTTTTTTTAGTCCGGGGGGCAGACACAGTCAGCTCATTAACACTACACTATGTTTTATTCATGTCCCATTACTAACTTTCCTTTGAGTATATGTGCTTTTCCTCCCCACAGGTTTCCATGGATCATGGTTCTATCTAGACACTGGTGGCGCCTACTAATCACATTTCACTTTCACTTTTTTTTTCCAACATAAACTCACAATCCTGAAGTCTTTGTGCTCATTTTTATTAGTTCTCATCATTGCTGACACGCTTACTGCTTTTTTATTCTATCATATGTGTAGTGATTGTAAAGCCTTCTGAGGCAAATTTTTAATTTGTGATTTTGGCTTAAACTAAATGAATGCAATTGAATGATAGGAGTCACGCTGAGAAATAATTAACTAACAGCTGTAATGATGATAACTTGGCCACAGACGGATTGAAACCGTTTCCTAACAAGTCTTATGCTACATCATGTAAACAAACCATGTGCTCCATCGGTCTGGAGACGTGAAAACACATGTTTTATATTTTTCTACGTACAGGAAATACACTAATCTGCCATCAGCAAGTAGGAAACATTCCACTGGTGATCTCTGGCCAGACACCTGCCTCCGGATAGTTTTGTTTTATGCTGAACTGAGGGATATCTTAATCATCTTCCAGAACAATCCATGATCACTCTGTCCTGATTGTGTTTGCTTAAGTGAGACTGGGCATTATTCCTCTGATGCTGCGGGGCTGCTGAAGACACGCTGAGAAGCAAAAAGGAACCTCTGCAGCTGAAGAACTTTATCTTCCTCCCTCTGCAGGCCGAGAACACCGCACAGCGTTCTTTAAAACGGGCTCAATTAACACTAAGACACTCGACTTATTCACATCCGACGCACCATTGTTTAGTATAAGATAAGCGCTTCCACTGAGTATCTGGTGTGGGATGAAAGACCTGTTAACATGCAGGAGCGAAAGTGAAAGGCCTGCTGGGTGTGCTAATGCGAGGGCAAAGCCGGGCCACCAGGGGATGTAGGTAATAATCCTCTGCAGTCTTATCTCTGCCCCCACTTAGGAGAGAGGCCAACTCTGTGTGTGTGTGTGTGTGTGTGTGTGTGTGTGTGTGTGTGTGTGTGTGTGTGTGTGTGTGTGTGTGTGTGTGTGTGTGTGTTGTCAGAACGCTAATAGGGATATATAGCTGTTTTATCAAGTTTTTCATGTTTGCATATTTGTGGATGTAAGAACATATGTGTTTCATGCAGCAAAGCGTGTAGGTTCATCACATGCATCTCAAGTAGAAGCTGTGGACTTAAAAAGCTTCCTAAGAGTCCCTGTCACCTGCTGTTGGAACGCCTCGATGGAAACATCAAACATTCTGCAGTGTGACAGACAGAGAGCAGTGAAGCGGCTGAAACGGGACGCAGTGAAGAGACGGTTGCTTCAGCAGGAAGGACACACTAACTGCAGCAAAAGGGACGATGTGAGGCAGATCTTTAAGCGTGGACGCTGGCTCTTTTTTTTAACGCAGTCCAGAGCAATCCAGTTTTCCAGCCCGTCCATGGGGTTGTTTTTTGTACCTTGAAGTGTGCACTGTAGGACGACTCATTGGGGACATCCCTAATTGGAATAGTTCTCTATTCCACGAATGACACACAGACCAACACCTGCTTCCACTGGACTGTAGGAGGACACAAATAGAGTGCTGGTGAGGTGAGTGTCTGTCTCGGAGCGTCTGCAGCCACAGGACAGCAATGAAGAAGGACACCAGCCGGAGACTCACCGAGGAAGCGGAAGGTCCTGCGGACGAGCGGGTTGAGGTAGCAGCAGTCCCCCGTGGCCACTGTCTTCTCAGAGCGGTCAAACTCTTTGGACGTGTACTGGGACCAGGAACAGCACCGTCTCTGTCACTGTGATCTGGTAGAGACGGAGAAGACACACGCGGTGGGACAGGAAGGACAATTAGCAGAGCGCTGATACAGGCGGGTGGGAGTCGTCTAGTCACAAAAAAATGAACAAATATACATTTCATCCCAAGCAGCAGGTGACTGTCGGTTTTTATCAAGCACCCGAGCAGGAGGAGAAGTCCGCATATGTTGGTCTTTTTCAGGGTTGGACTCATCCACACGGGGCTCTTTGCGTCAGCAGGACGCTATGGTTATTCTATGGTGACAAAAACCTGTCATGCTCAGGTGGCAATGAAGAGAAATACTTTTCAGCATTGTATTCCATTCCTTCCAACACGTTCCCTAAAAGCTAAACACTGAATTCATTTCTATAGAAATGGCCCTCATAAAGTCCTGGGAACCACAGTCACGACCAGGGAACCTTGGTGCGAACCAGCTCCAACTGAACTTTAAATGCTGCTTACACTTAAAACCTCATTTCAAACCAAAGGAACATCTACAAACTGACTAGTTCATGTTGGCGTCTGGTTTTGGAGGCAGTAAGAAGCAGTAATGAAAGAGGTCCGTGTGATGCTGAGGACAAACAGTCAGGCTATTGCGCGTCTGCTGAGCCACTGGCGCTCCAACCGTGGTGAAATAACACAACTTAATGATAACAAACGCACTTATGTAACACTCTGGTATGCCTGAGATAAATTGCAACATGGTTACATAAGACGGGGAGATAACAAAGGCGCAATAACACACGGACGGAGTAGAGGAACAATGCTGGATGAAAGCAACTGGAACGTGTGTGTGCTGTTTTGTAACGTGTGTGTAGCGTGTAGAGAGGGCTTCAGCGCGGCCCCGTGACCAGGGGCCAGCAGCGGGAGGTACTCGTGGCTGCCGGTCTCCAGGAAGTGCCCCATGCCCACTGTGTCCCCCGAGTCCACAGTCGGGCCCCCAGCGCTGGGCCGATTTCACACGCCGTCCGCTGACGGATTCATCTTTAATTCACAGGTTCCCCCCTCAGCGGGATTCGGACCGACAACCCCCCTGCCCTCGTCCGGTCTGAACGTTTCCACCTGGGCGACCACGCAGACGCACGAAACCTGCCACTGTGCACGTGGGCAGCAGAGTGTGCGTGCTGCGGATGGCTACTGAGGCCCCGAGCTGAACGCACTCAGGCGCTGCTGCAGTGATTGATTCGGGTCGACTGGTGAGGGGGGGCAGGCGACGTAGAGGAGGAAGAACGAGACCCCAAAAAGTCAACTGACTGACCACAGTGCCCCTAGTGGGCCCCTAGTTCAGTCACGCACGTCACGTCCTGTATAAGCAGCTGTTAGCATTCTAGCTACAGATACGCGTTACTGATGCTAACAGTCCCTGTGTGACCTGCACCACCACAGGGCATTTTAAACATGTGGAGCTTCACCTCCTCATGAGAGTTTGACCCTCATGTTGTTGCATTAAAAACCCTTATGTTCCAGGAGAAAAATATATATATGTATATCTATGTCAATATTCCCTAGATTTAATACTAATACTAATACCTTCTTACAGATTTAAAACATAAATTCTGGCAACATTTTATTTTTTTTCCTCGTATTAAAATGAGTATTTGAATGCATTCAATACATGTAAGAGCAGCTTATCAAGGGAAGTTGTAAAGTAATCAAATCACTTGGTTGGTTGAGTAAACCCACTACTGGTGATGTGACATCGTCAGTGCACAATGGACCCGCAGAGGAAAGACTTTTGAGGTTGCCTGACTTTATTTCTCCTCTGTGTGAACAACGATCGCTCAGAAAGACAAAGAAGCGATTCTCATCATTATAAGTGAACGCTGCAAAGGGACACAGAGGGTGGAGAGGTGGAAAGCAAAGGAGCAAAGGAGAAATCTTCTGCCTTTATTAAAGCGGAAACTTACTGTGTGGTTGCTATGGTTACACCTGACTTTTTCTTTTAATGAGGAATCGATACAATACACTGTGGAGGACACAAGCTCAACCAATCTCAGTTTTTGCTGCTCCACTCTCAAATGTTTCAGAAAAACAAAAGTCTCCGAGGTAACAGGTGCACATAGCAACCATATGATCTTATCTTATAGTGTCCACACCTCCAAGAGCTCTTGGAAGATGTGATTTGTAACAGTTCATTTTTTGGAATCTACAGTATGATCACAGTGTTATATAGTGGTGGAGGAAATGTACTGCATGCATAAATAGACTGCTTAAACAACGAAAGGAACACTCTTTTATCAGGGTATGAAAACGGTTGAAAACGCACAGACCTCTACAGGCTCGAGAACGGCAGTCTGACTGCTTTTATGTATCAGGATGAAGTCCTGGAACCCATGGTCAGACCCTACGCTGGGGCAGTAGGTCCTGGGTTCCTCCTGATGCACAACAAGGCCTCACATGGCAACAGTATGCAGGCAGTAGCTGGAGGATGAAGGAATTGATACCATTGATTGGCCCTCACGATCACCTGACCCTAACCCCATAGCTCACTGATGCCCTTAGACGGATCTGTCTCATAAGGAGCATGGTGACCAAAACATTGAGAAGCATTTATTTTTGGTAATATGCACTATGTCTGCCACATCATTTTTTCACTTTGATTTTCGGAGTGTCTATAGAATGAAGCCTTCTGTAGGCTGAAAAGATCCTCAGACGTTAAACTGTCCATATCAGTATCGATATCCAACATTATTTTTTCACATCTGGCTCTGATATCTGATCATTATAAACACGGTCGATAGACTGGAAGGGGCAGCGAGGGTCCTCACTCCCGTTTGTGGAGCTTAACGGACCCCATTGGACACATGTGATCCAATGCACTAGGCAGGCCGGACCCCTGGATTGCCTACATGCCTTTTACACACTGGTTAAAATATACTGATAATTGGCTTTAGTATAGAACATGAAGTTAAAACAAACTAACATTGACTTTACAGGGGACATGAGCAGCTGTCTGCTCGGTAAAAATCCCGTGTGTCTTTGACCCGTCCAACCTCCCCTCTGCCGGCGGTGGGAGCATTGGACAAGCTGGGAGTGAGAAGAGGTTGACTAAATGGTAAATGGACTGTACTTGTTTCAAGCTTTTCTAGTCTTCCAACCACTCAAAGCACTTCAACACTTCATGTCATCATTCACCCATTCATTGCAGCAGCTACCATAAACAAACATACACAACAACATGCGGGTTAGCAGGGCCTGGGATCGGGCCGCCAATCCTCTGATTGGAGGACTACCGTGCACCCCACTCACCCACTACTCAGCACATTGTTCTTCTTGTGCATCCAAAAGAGAAGACTGTTACACATGTCAATGGTTTCATCACAAAAGTAACACCAAAATTAACCATTTTCCATTATTTGCAAAGCGTTACTTTCATTGGCCTCACATATTAGTTAGTCATTTGTTTTAAATGTCACAATGCATTGCCTGAGGCTGCACTAAGAAGGGCAAGAAATGGCTGAAGGGCCATGTGACCTACAAAAGACCTGAGCAGCACTGTGACAGCCACGGGCCATTTGTCCCACTTTCTCATCGGCCACAGCCCGAGCATACAGGCCACGGTGACAAAGTGCTGCTTGTTGGCTCCTGAACCAGCTCCCTTTCTCTCTGGATCCACGGCCCTCATCCCCCCCTGACTTATTGACTCCACTGACATTGTGGTCAGAGGAAAACCCGTTCACCCCTCCCGTCCTTTTCCTCCCACCCGGTTTTTGAGACTTCATTTCCAACCAATCTATGTAAGGACAATAATCTCCATCAGCATGTCAAATGCAGAGCGCAGCCAACAGGAAAAGACACTGAACCAATATTTGTGGAAGGCTTCGCTTGTCCGATTGCAGGCCTGCCTCGCCCCCAGGTACAGATTTCACCACGACGCTCCTTGGGTCGATATGTCTCCGGTTCGAAGTTAATTGGACCTGCAGTGGCAACACGATTCAACAGCCAAGTAAGAAAGGGGCTTATATGTGAACCACTTTGGACACGCTGATACGAAGAGACTCCGGGGACGCAGGGAGGCGCAGTATTTCATTTTCAGCAAATGAAGGATGATTTAATTCCCCAGCAACAAGCCACAGGGATACATGGCTGTCAGTTTAGAAACAAAGTGATAATTGGAGTCCTTTCTGACTCATAACGTGATGCTGGATCAACAGCTTTTTAAGTGTAGCGCAGAATAAGATCATTTACCACAATATCTACTTCAACATGTGTAAGTGAAATATGGTCCGCTGGTGGGATCGTGCTCCCCCGTGTGTGCGCACGAGTCGGATGTGATCTCTATAAAGAAAATAGAATGAAACTAAATGAACTTGTTCTTCAATGGGAGGAAAGGGGGCCGCTTGGGGGGGCTCCTAATCTAAAGATAGGGGAAACCACAAATGCATTCTAAAAGATTAGTTTTCACAGTACTTTGGACTTTTTTTAGTATCTGAAACTAGTAAACTAGTCTTTGTACTGTGCAAAATCCAGATGGGTTTGTTTGTCCACGTCTACCACTTGGTGTTACAATCTTTACAAGGAACAAGTAGTTCTCCAACATTGGTTTCCTTGGTTTTGCCTCTTCGGCCACATACAGGCTACTGCTGAACCCTCTGATTGGTGAAGGTTACACCTGTAGGATAAGAGGGAGACTTGCCGACAACCCGGAGCTATCGAAAAATACTCTTAACAAGAGATTAGCAGAGATTAACATCTGCTTAAACATCAGTCACTCTTTTAGACAATTTGGAATTTGGACCCACAGCAGCAGCTCAAACCTTCATGGACAAAGTGAAACATAGTTATCTCCTCTCCTGTATGGAGATCCATGGATGGATTCATAGGAGAGGTTCACCAGGCTGTTACAAATGAGGACGATAATGTGCCGAGTCCGTCATGTTACAATGCAGAGGTTAGTGGCATGTCTCTCTTGGCTCTCAGCAAAGCATTTACACCCCCCCCCCCCCCCCTTCCACTCCTGTATGCACTGTCCCATGTAATAACATTGTAGAAGCCCCTACAAATGATG